CCAAATCTGAAATGAAATCGCCTGTCTAGAAATTCTTTGCAAAGGCAAGAAAGCCTGCTGCTCTGGATCCATAGCATCATCTGACAGGTTCTACTTAAGTTTTTCCAGGACAGCGAAATGCTTATCAACCTTGGCACAGGTTTCAATGGATCAACCCACAAGGTATCAATTTCTCTCTCTCTTTTTTTCTCTCTGCAGTAACTCAAACCTCACAGTAGTGATAAAGAAAAGAAGGGAGTATTGGAAATGTGAAACTGTGTAAAGTTCATTCATAACAAACATTTATTACACATTGTATGTCTGGCACTTTGCTGCACACAGTGGTAAAGAGGAAGGAATTGGAAGATTCTGCTCTTGTTCTCGAGTTGCTCATAATCTAGTTGCTAGATACAAGATGTTACCTCTTCATTTGCCAGCCATGTAAGCGTTGATGTTCTTCTGGATTCTGCCCTTTGTCCTTTTCGTGTTCTACATGCTCTCCTAGTTTAGCTCATCTTAGCCCATGATTTCAACTAACCACCACATCCACCTCCTAAATCACTGTGCTTGGTGTGAGCCCACTCCTAGTCTCCAAAACTATGTTTTCCAACTACTTCTGTCCTCAACTCCTCTCTGTTGCTCATAACTCAAATAAAACTCATCAGTAAATTGTGTTAGCTTTGCCTTTGAAATACAGCCAGACTCCTACTATTTCTCCCCACTTCCAGTCCTAATACTCTTGTCCAAGCCATTATAATTTCTGGTCTGCATTATTGCAATAGTTCTATCCAACCAATATTGCTATCCTATTGCTTTTGCCTGCTCTTTATTCATTTCTCTTTCTTCTGCTAAAAAAAAAAAGTTGCTGTTGAGTTGATTTTGATTCATGGTGATCCCATGTGTGTCAGAGTAGAACCGTGCTCCACAGAGTTTTCAGCGGCTAAATTTTCAGAAGTAGATCACCAGGCTTTTCTTCTGAGATGCCTCTGGGTGGACTCAAACCTCCAACCTCCAGCCTTTCGAGTAGCAGTCTAGCACGTTAACTGTTTGCATCACCGAGGGACTCCTGTTAATTGAAACTTGAATTTCCTTTGTGAATGTAACCATCAGGGGCCCAGCAAATGGTTAATCTGAGGAGAGTTTAGTAAAGATCATATACAAATGTGCAGGCAGGGTTGAGAGAAACAACCAGGAACGATGGTAATACCCTAAGAGTGGCAACAGAGGGGAGCCATTACCACACCTAGGGCAAGAGAAAGGAGAATTTACCAGAACTAGGAAAAAGTATCTATATGAAGAGGATCCCTTGACGGAAGCCTCAGTAGAGGTATGTAGCCAACCTGCAGTGACCTGCAAGAGAAAAGGCCAGTGGAATAATACACCAACTTCATCTTCCTTCAGCCCTCTGATCTCTTTCTGACGTCTTCTATTGGATGAATTCTACTGAGAGGCTAGAGGGCAAGCGACTCATTGAAGCACTCCAAGCATTTAGCCTCCTGAGGCACAAATCAGGAAGGAAAAGGGTGGAAGGTAGATCTGGAGGGACCAACAGAAAATATCTAGCACGAACCAAGGTAGAGAAGGGGAGAGTATTGACACATCACAGAGTTGGCAACCAATGTCACAAAGCAATATGGATATTAATTGTTTAATGAGAAAATAATTTGCTCCATAAATCTTCATCTAAAGAACAAAAAAGAAGAAGAAGAAAGACGGAAAGAAAATACCTAGCACAGAAGGCCACCTCTTCCAAGTTCTCAGTCTATGAGATGAGTGGACCTTATCTCAGCAACAGAGGTGTACACATGACCCAGGCCTGGGCTGTTAGAATATTCCATGCCCCTTCTCATGAGAGTGATTTAGTGGTGCACAAGTAATCCAAGTTAGTCCAATGAGATGCAGTTCTAGGACTTTTGTTAATACTGTGGCGGGAGGGGGAGACTCTTTCTGCTGTCAAGGAACTGATTTGAGAGTATAAGTAGCCATTTTGCCATCTCATGGGGAAAGGCAGCCTGAGAATGAATAAGTCAGCACAGAGAAAAACAGTCAAGAAATGGAGAGAAAATAAGTCCTGATGTCAACGGTTAAGCCCCTGGGTCCAACCAAGCCTGAAGCCCTAAACTTTTCTGTTACAGGAGTCAATGAATTCCATTTGTTACCTAACCCAGTTTTAGTGGTATATTGCATGAAAAAAAAAAAGGAAAGAAAAGAAAAAAGAAAGAAATCTTGACTAACACCCCAGAGACCAACCCAAAGTATACCTATATACCTCTAAATATGCTGCTATTTATATGGAATGCTCTGCTCATCTTCTCCACCTATAGAACTCCTACTCAAATATCCTCAAGCTATGAAGCCTTCCCTGCCCTCCAAAGGTACAGTTGCTCACTTCTCCTCTGCTTTGTCCGCACTTTGCAAATACCTCTATTAGTGTACAAACAAAATTGTATCACAGTTAGTTGCTTGCTTATCTATCTTTCCTGTTTGTGAGCTCCTCACAGGGCAGATTTGTGTGGGCCTTGCCTTGGCAAGCCCATTGCTCAGGAAAGGGCCTAATACCTTGGGTAACTCTGGGTTAAGCATGGCTAATCCAGTCTTTTTTACTTCAGGACCTCTCAGAGCCATTTTTGTGTTATTGTGTACCATGGATCCCCAAGCAGCGGTATAGAATGCAGCAGTTTCCAAACTCATATGACCAAACAACTCAATTTTTGCTGAAGTGCTGTGTTAGAAGAATTTAGAGAAGAAAAATTGCTGCGGTTCTTAGGGTGACCTTGACAAAGAAATGGCTCTTAATTTGTTGAATGAATGAAAGTGAAGAACTTGGTTAGGTCAGGATGGGGAGTGGGGAGGGGGAAAGGGGGCAGCAGAAACAACAGGTGAAATAAGCTGGAAACAAAGGGGGTAATATGTTGGACGTATCTCCATGATGGTGTGCTGTTGTTGTTGAGTACTGTCAAGATGATTCCTACTCACAGCAACGCCATGTGACAGAGTAGAACTGCCCTATAGGATTTTCTTGGCTATAATCTTTACGGAATCAGATTGTCAGGTCTTTTTCCGGCAGAGCCACTGGGTGAGTTTGAACTGCCAACATTTCAGTTAGCAGCTGAGCTCTAAGCCGTTTTCACCACCAGGGCTCCTTCCACGCTGGTGCTAGAGGTCAGTTGTTACCACTGGGATCATAATCCAACCCAGTTTCCTTAGCTTAAATCTAACAGAGACTAGACATACTCTACGCGGTTTAATCCTTCTTCCTGCCCCATGACCGAGGTGCTAAGCGCCTGACAACACTGCTTGCTTGATTTTGACCTTCAGTTTGCTTCATGTTGCTTCTGAGAGGGCCGTGAGAGGGTGATGAGAGCTGATTTTCTTCTAACTGCACAGCCTTAAAGATGGGAGCTGAAACAAGTCCTTTTCCTGCTCTGTGCATGTGTCCCTCTCCTGAGCTAAGGGAAAAGGCATCTGCTCCCTTCCAAGCTTGGCTCAGGTGCCTTGTAAAAATAATAGTAACAACCATAGCCGTCAACCTAAGCCTCAGTCCCACCACTGTAACCGTAGGTAAGTCGCTGAGCAGTTTAGACCCTTGATTCTCCCCGTTTGCAAAATGGGCATAATCATGCCCCACTTGTCTCTCAGAGTTTCTGAGAGGATCAAGTGTTTTGTAAACTGACAATAAGGCTTTAAAAATGTAAATATCGTGAATATTATACATAAGGCATAGTTGTGAAGAGGAGATAGTGTGCCACAATGGTTGAGAGTCCGGGATATGGAGTCGCACACCTAGATGCTGTCTACAGCTCAGCTACCTACCAGCTGCCTCTCCTCGGTCTATTAAGCACATGGAAGCCCCTCCTCATCTTTAAAATGGGGATAATAATATCCGGTTCGCTGAGTACTGTGGGGTAAATGAGGTAAAGCTCACAAAGCACTTGGCACAGTGTACACGGTAACTGGCCCTCAGTAAATGTGAATAATATTCCTATTAACTATTCTTGTGACCGACATAATGGGGCTAACGGGAAAAGGAGATAATCTATTTTTGGTGGGTGGAAGACGAGGAGATGGCTAAAGACCCTGTTTTCGGGGGTAGCTAAAGCCCCCGCCTCAGTGGAACAGCCCAAGTTCCTCACTGACAGACACTAACACTGAGCCGAGCGGGGTGAAGGGCGCGCGCACGGCCCGACCCCACCCCCGCCCCACGAGGCCGCTTCCTGCCAGGGCGTCTGGGCCTCCTCGCCCCCGCGCGCCCCC